CAGCGGGAGGTGGGGCTTGGGGGGCGGCGGCGGTGGGGCCGAGAGCCCGGGTGCGCACCTGGGCCCCCCTGGCCATGGCGGCGAAGGTGGACCTGAGCACCTCCACCGACTGGAAGGAGGCAAAATGTAAGTGTAAGCACGAGGGGGGCGCGAGGGACTAGGGTGGCCCCACGTGGGTCTTCCCGGCCCGGACAGCGCTCTACGAGCAGCCTCTTTGACCCAAGAGACCTGGGGAAGTCGAGGCCCCATCTGCTCTGGAACGGACCCCTCCCACCACTACAGCCACGCCCCTCCAGTGCCCAGCACCACTGACCAGTTCTCTCAGACCAGGGCCAGTAGGGTGGTGTGAGGAAGGCGGCCTTTCCCCCCTGGAATGGGTCACAGGGCACCCAGAGATCATTCAGGACCGGGCCACCTTACTCCCATCTGCTGGAGAGAAACTGAGACCCAGGGCAGGAGCTGATTTCCCCAAGGTCATCTGGAAATGTGTGGGAGACACGAGGTTGGGATCCCAAACTCCCCCTACTTGGCACGGCGTGGTTCTCAAGTGGTGGCATGTGAGGCAGAGTGGCAGGGAATGGACTGGGGGGACAGCTGTGGGGTCAGATAGCTCCAGAGTGACCTTTTCTGGCAGGCCTGTCCTGCCTCCACTCCAGCCCAGCCCTCCCTTGAGGCAGGCCTTCCTGGGCACGTGGGCAGGTGCCCTTTTGACCTCCTAGCTGGGCCCTGGCCACTCCTTAGCAGCCTGCCCCTTCCTGGGGAGTTGTTAGAGGAGATGGGCCCAGGGCAGAGAAGGGGTGCTGTGCCAGTGAGAACCCGTGACACTCCTAGGAATCACACTGCTCCCCACCGCAGGCGGGAGTCCCGGGACTGAGGAGGAGGGAATCTGTCCTGCAGCTCCAAATAGCTCAGTCAGCTGCCCCTGCCCTTCAGCCTCTGCCCGGGGCTCCTGTGACTTCCTGGCTGGAGCCCACTTCAAAAGAGCAGGGAAGGCGGCCCATTGGCTGGGCGCTTGTGGAGTGGGTGGGGCCATGGGTGGGAGGCCAGCCTGGGGCTGACCAGGTTGGAGGTAAAGGAGTGGCATCTGTCTCAGTATGGAGACTGGCCTTAGGAGCCAGAATGATTTTCCACTGTCGTGAATTGCCTTGCCTGTGACCAGATCTTAAAGGGCAGGCAGGAAGCACTGACTTGACTCCCTGAGGAAAGGGAAACCCTCCCAGGCCATCTGTCTTGTCCCCAGAACACCCGCCCAGGCAGGGAGTGGGGGCTAGCAGGACCTCTGCAGGGGAGTCACTGTCCCCATAGGCAGCCCTGCTGCCCCTGTTCTCTGTCAGAGCAGCGATCTCGGGTGGTGGGAGAGGGCTAGGGTGCAGGTCCGCAGCTCTTCCTAGGATCCAGCACTTGTCCCCAGCTCCCTCAGTTTCTTGGTACCACTGAAAAACGGCAGACCTGGGACCCACAGGTGGCATGGTGGTTGAAGCACTGGGCTGGCCTCCCACATAACTGACCGTGGTTTGAGTCCTGGGTCTGATGACTTGCTTTCTCACTTTCCCTCTCTCTCTAGTTGAATAAAATAATAATAATAATAAATAAAATTAAGAAAGTAATTTTTTTTCTTTTTAGAGAGAGATTTTTGCTATAGGGCACATGCACTCTCCAGAGAAACAGAGACAGAGAGATAGAAAGTGAAAAATCACCCCCCAGGGTGGATGGCCATGCCACAATCTCTTCTTCCTCATTCTCCTGGAGATTTTGGTTAAAGAAAATAATTCTTAATTTTTTATTTTTAAATGGGACCAGAAGTTAATGTAATGACTACGTTGCTGGACTCTGAGGTTCACATCCCAGACCCGGTGGCTTAAAACTCACTCCGGGTGCGTGTGTGCCCAAGATCCCAAGAGGAGATTGGAGAAGGGATTGCAGAGCGGCCATCCCCACTGGGGGGTGATTTCTCGCTTTCTGTTTCTCTGTCTTTCTCTGTCTGGCGAGCTCACAGGCCCTATAGCAAAAACCTCTCAAAAAAAAAAAAATTTTTTTTTTTTGAGAGGTTTTTGCCTTAGGGCATGTGTGCTTGCTAGACACAGACAGAGAAGAGTCAGAGACAGGGAAAGTGAAAAATCAACCCTCCAGGGGGAATGGGCATGGCACAATTCCTTCTCTGTTCTCCTCTTGGGATCTCAGGCATGCATATGCACCCAGCATTTTCGAGCCACCAGGTCCCAGACTTGAACCACAGTTGGCCATGTGGGAATCCAGTGCCCATACTACTTGCTGGCTCCCATGCAGGCATGTTTTTAAAACTGTCACACTCGTGGGTCTGACCACGCTGGTAGGTCTGGGGGGCTGCCACAGCTAAACTCTGCTTCTGGTTGCAGTCTGAGCCTGGAGCTTGAAGTCCCTGCACTCTTTGTCTCAGTACATTCAAGTTACACTGTGAGCTGAGTTAGGCGTCTAGGCCGTTGTATACGGCCAAGTTGCCATGCATCCGCCATTCTGACCAGCAGGTGGAACCTTGCCATCACCATCGAAGAAGCTTCTTTCCCATTAGTGCCCCCTAGAGCTGCTGACTCTTTTGTCTTTTCATTTCGTCTGTTCTTGAACTTTGTATAAACAAAAGCATTTGTGTTGGCCCTGTAGCCTACTGGGGAAGGGAGCTAGATCCTACATGGCCAACTGCAGTTCAAATCCCGACTCTGGCAACTTGAAAAACATGCCAGGCTGGGGACCAGCAGGTGGCATTGTGGTTAAGGTGCTGGATACTCCCACATGGCTGACCAAGGTTCAAGTCCTGGACCTGCTGGCTTGGTTTCTCACTTGCTCTCTGTGTCTCTGGTCAAATTAAAATAAATGAATGAAAAAAGAAAATAAAATTAAATAACTAATTCTTAAAAGAAAAAAAAAACATGCCAGACTTGTGTGTGTGTGCATCCCCCAAAACCCCAACAGAAGGGAAAAATGGAGAGAGAAGATTGCAGTATGATCATGTCCCACTGAGGGGTGCTCTCTCTCTCTCTCTTTCTCCCTCTCTATCTCCCTGTCTCTCTGATAAGCACCCATACCTTCTGGAAATTAAGAGGGGGACAAAAAAAAAAAAAAAGAAAAAAAAAGAAGAGGCATACAATGCGACTTTATTTTTCATGGAAAAAATGAATTTAAAGTATGATTTATTGGGGGCTGGCAAGTGGCATGGTGGTTAAAAGCACTGGACTTCCACATTGCTGACCATGGTTAGAGTCCCAGACCTGGCGGCTTGCTTTCTCACGGTTTTTTTTTTCTCTTACTCTGTCCCTCTCTGGTCAAATTAAAAATAAATAAATAAACTTAAATAAAATGATTTTTTAAAATACTTTTAAAAAGTATGGATTTATTTTGGTACAAAAAATTTTTGAACTCTATATGTAGGTTTTTCTACTAAATTTGTTTGTTTTTAAGAGGTTTTTCTATTAGGGTACATACATGTGCTTGCCAGAGAGAGAGGGAGACGGAGACAGTGAAAGGGAAATTGAGAAATCACCCCTGGGGGATGGCCACACCACAATCCCTTCTCCTCCATTCTCCTCCCAGGATTGTGGGCACACATGCAGCTGGCGTGATGTGGAAGCCACCAGGTCCAGGACTCTAATCATGGTCGGCCATGTGGGAGTTCAGCCATGTAACTGCTGTGCCATCTGCTGGTCTCTTCCGTGAACTTCTTGAAGACCCTCTTGTGCAGTGCTTCCAGTTCCTTCTACTCGGTCTCCATGTGATTTCCCATGTTATCGGGTGTAGCAGTGGTCTGCTCTTTTCCTTGCCGTGTAGGATTTTGTCACATCAATGTGCAGCAGTTTGTTTACCCATTCACTGGTTCCTGGGCATTCGTAATACTTGTGAACGGAGCTGCTCTGACATTTACATGTCTTTGGTGGACATGTGTCTCCTTTTCTCTCAAGGACATACTGGAGAGGTCTCCAAATGCTCATCTGCCTAAGATGAACCGCTTTTGAAGACTGACACACGGGAACCAGCAGTTAGCGTAATGGCTATGTCGCTGGATTCCCACGTAGTCGACTGCGGTTCGCATCCCGGACCCGGTGGCTTAGAACTCACGCCGGGTGCGTGTGCGTGCGTGCCCAAGATCCCGAGAGGAGAATGGAGGAGAAGGGATTGCCACGTGCCCATCCCCCCCCGGGGAGTGATTTCTCACTTTCTGTCTCTATGTCTCTGTCTGTCTGTCTGGCGAGCGCACGCGCCCTATAGCAAAAACCTCTCCAAAAAAAAAAAGACTGACACACAGTGGGACCGGCAGATGGTACAGTGGTTAAGGGCGCTGGACTCCCACATGGCTGACTGTGGTTTGAGTTCCAGACCTGGCGGCTTTCTCTCTCTCTCTCTGTCCCTCTCTGGTCAAATTAAAATAAATAAGTAAATAAATAAATAAAGTTAAATAAAAAATAATTATTAAAAAAAAAAAGGACCAGCAGTTAGCTGAAATCCCATGTAGCCGACCATGGTTCAAGACCCAGACCTGGTGGCTTAAACTCATGCCGGGTGCATGTGTGTGCATGCCCAAGATCCCGAGAGGAGAATGGAGAAGGGATTGCGGCGTGGCCATCCCCCCTGGGGGGTGATTTCTCACTTTCTATCTCTCTGTCTCTATCTTTCTGGCGAACGCACACGCCCTATAGGAAAAAACTTCTAAAAAAAAAAAAAAAAAAAAGACTGACACACAGTAACCAAACTCACAGGAAACTGAGGGCTGAGGTGCAGTAGGTCTGAAAACTCATACCAGGGCAGGGTCTCCTCTCCTATAAAGCCATATGGAAACCAAATTGCAGTCTTTTTTTTTTTTTTTTTTTTAGATATTTTGCAATAGGATGCACGTACTTACCAGAGAGACAGAGAGAGATAGAGAGACAGAGTGAGAAATCATCTCCTGGGGGAGATGGCCATGCCGCAGAGTTTGGGCACACATGCACACCCTCCCAGTGTGTTTTAAGCCATTGGGTTGGCCATGTGAAAGTCCAGTGCCTTAACCCCTATGCCACCTGCCGGCCCCATCTAAATCATGTGTTCTTGTCCTGGGGCTTCATGAAGCATTCTCGAAGCTAATTCCACTGCTCTGGACAGGATGGGAAAGCTTCCCTGCT